TAGATAGTATCATTTATATATTTATATATGTATGGTAGATCAGTAGATCCCATCTATACATATGTAAAATATAAATGTGGTATCATATATGAAACCATATTTATAAAGGTTCTATATGATAAACCCTTTCATAATTCCCACATCATAAAAAGTCAGTGCAATAGCTAAGCAGAGGTTTTTAATCTGGCTGTACATCAGCATCGCTTTTGGACAAAAATATAGGCTAGTATCTTGTTTGTGCACTAGGCATATGTATTTGAAAATATGAAAGGAAAACAAGATATTTATGTTGATTCTGATGTGCAACCAGTTGATAACCATCACATTAGAAATTGATGATGATTTTGTATGTGGTCTAATCTTTGAATGTAGACAGAGTGAGAATTTATCAGTAGTAGTAAAGGACATACTGATTGGGTCCATAGACACTGTAAGAAATTGGCCTATCAGATGCAGACCCTGTGGAATGCAAATAGCTGAGATTAGCTGACAATATAGAAACCAATACAATAACAAATCCACCATATTTCTTATGATGTTACTTTGCCTAGAATCTACATCTTTATATTTTGCTCACTTATCTTAAGAGAAGTGAACTTTAAAGTCTCCTACTATTAATATAGCTTCATATATTTTTTCTTAATTTTTGTTTTCAGGAGAGGGTGCTTTTTTATTTTAATAACTTTCAAACCTAAAAGATACAGGAATAACACAAGTAGCTTCCCTATCTTTTACCTACCTTGTTGTTTACATTTTGCCTCACTTACTTTATCATTTCTGTGCATATACTCCCCTCTCACCTTTTCCATATCACCCTTTCTTCTCCTCCTCCTCCTCCATCTCTTGACCTGTAGCATTGTGAACTACTTAATGGGATGGTGTTTAAACCACCAAATTTATAGTAATTTGTTACATACCATTCTAATAAAAACAATAAAATTCTACATAATCCATAAGTGAAATAAGAAACCACAATAGAAATTAGATGCTTCTAATAATGTGATTCTAAATGAAAGACGTGAAAAGCAATGAAATATTTTAAACTAAATGTGAAGTCATTTAAATTGAGTGAATATATCACAATGTTTGAGGTACAGCTAAAATTGTTATTAGAGGAAAATTTAGAGCCTTAAATATAAGTAGTAGAAAAAAGGAAGAGAGTCAGCAACTTAAACGTTTTTAAAAAGAGAAGCAGCAAACAAAACTCAAAGATAGTGGAAGGAAGAAAATACTGAAGAAAATGACAAGAACCCATAAACTAGAAAACAAACATACAAGACAGAATCAATCATGATTTCCTCGGATGACGGTAATAAAATTGTTAAGACCTTGGCAAGAGTGATCATGAAAAATATTGAAAGCTCAAGTAATCAGTATCAGAAATGAGAAAGAATCAATACAATTCTACAGACATTAAGACGTTATGAACAACATTATACTACTGTTAATGAGAATTTAGATGAAATGAACACATTCTTAGGGAAATACACCATACTATCCTGAGACAGAAAATAGAGAATGTGAATAGTCATTCATCCATTTAAGATACTGAATTTTTATTAAAAGCTCTCCCACAAAGAAGCAGTTGACTTTTACCAGTGAATTCTACAAAACAATTCAAAAGAAGACATGACACCAATCTTGCACACTTCTAGAGAGTAGAAAAAAACACTTAACTCATTATGTGAGGATAGTATAATTGTTTAATGACAATATGACAGGACCTTATAAGTAAGTAGAATTGCAGGTTAATTTTTTTTTCATGAGCATAGAGCCAATATTTAAAAATTTTCATTATGAGATAAAATTATAGATTGGAAAGAAATAAAACTTTATCATTCATCAGCATGTTTGTATATACCGAGAATTTAATATCTATAAAACATCAGTTTATAAGTAAATTTAGCAAGGTTACTGACTATACAAGGTCTGTATCAAAATGCATTTTTGTACATAACAACAAATAGGAAATTAAAAATCAATTTATAGCGTTATCAACAAACAAGAATAAATCGAACAAAAGATGAAAGGGATCTGCACTGGAAACTATGAAGCAATATTGAAACAAATTAAAGATTTCTGGACATGGGGGACAAATCACGTTAATTGGAAGGCTTGTTATTTTAAAGATGTCATTTCTATACCAAACTCAACAGATGTTTTTGTGGAAATGATGGTAAAAATTTATGTGACAATGAAAGATTGCTAAACAACAAATGTTTTTTTATTTAGGGTAACTGAAACATGGCATAGGATAAATGCCAAATAGATTTTTTTCCCTTGAAACAGAGTCTTGCTCTGTTGCTCAGGCTGGAGTGTAGTGGCATGATCTTGGCTCACTGCAACCTCCGCCTCCC